AAGTTGTTGAGAATGAGAAGATGAAGATCTTGTGCGACTTTCGAATACAGACAGATCACCATTTGGAACACAATACGCCAGATATCACAGTTGTAGAGAACCGAAGTGTACAGCTGATTGATATTGCTGTACCAGGAGATGCCAGAGTCGAAGAAAAAGAACTGGGGAAAAAATGAAATATCGCAAACTGGCCATCGAAACTGCGCGATTATGGATGAAACGTGTAACAGTGGTAGCCATTGTCATCGGGGCACTGGGAACTATGTCCCAAAACTTTGCAAAATACATCAAGAAACTGCAGCTTCCTGCAATAACTCCAGCAATGTTACAAAAAACTGCGCTACTCGGAACATCTTATATTTTAAGGAGATACCTGGTTGACACCCAGGATGCTGGTAGCAACCCGTGTCAACCATCAGCGCCAGCCAATTTGAATGTTCATTTGACTGAGGTTCATGTTTAATGAATAAAAGATAATAATAATAATAATATTTATTTATTTATTTATTATTCGAATTTATATCCCGCCCTTCTCCTTGCGGACTCAGGGCGGCTGACAATCAATTAAAAACACCGATAACAATCACAAATTAAAATTAATTAAAATGAAATATTTAAATTGTCTGATTAAAATATGCTTAAAAACCCCTCTAAAACCCCTCTTAAAAATTACCCTAGGCCAGTCCCGCNTAATAATAATAATAATAATAATAATAATAATAATAATAATAATAATAATAAAGTTGGATTGGACTTTGGAGGTCATCTAGTCCAACCCCCTGCTCAGGCAGGAAAATCTATACTATTTCAGACAAATGTTCTATTTGCATGGCTGCTGATGTGGTTCATGAACCTTTGGGGGATAAATTTTTTGAAAGCATTTTAAAGTCCAAAGATATAATATCCATCATATTACATCTACTAATGTGAAGTTCTCCATTTTGGCCTGTAGAGGATATAATCAACTGTAAAGCCCACTCTTAGCAGAATGGCTGATCTTCAAATAGGTGCTGGATTTTTATGAAAGTGTTTTACACTAGTCTGTTCAGCAATAGCAGTGCAGGAGAGTCTGCAGCACATTTGTACCACTGTTATTAATGGCATTTCATTTAAGGAAAACCAATTTGGGGGAACAAAGATCAAGTTTGTTACTCAATATCTCAAGATTGCCAACTTGAAATGCCATCAGGTTTGATAACTGGGGACAAGAAGCGTCCACCAGAGGCTATAGATTTTAATTGCTTGATAAAGGTTTTGAATAAAAGGAATGATGCACTTCTGGTGTGTTGCACTGTTTCCCATTTAATCTTTTGAATGACCACCCTTTGAATTCTGTATTTTCCACGTTATTCTTTTACTTACTGCAATATGGAGTTATACTCACACAATCAGAATTACTTTAAATTTTACTTTTGAAGATATAAAAATAACTGTTGTGACAGGACAGCTTTTAATATAGGACCAATATATTACTGCTGTGATGACATTTATGATGCTTTATGGAAATTATCCATGTATGTCTGGATGATTCAGTGATGGTATATTGGTTTTTAAGAAGAGATTGGCAGCTTGAGCAGGTGGTTGGATTAGAAGACCTCCAACTCTGTTATTCTGCATTCTATTCTGTATAAATTAATGGCCCATATTTGATCTCTAGATTTGGCCACATCCAAGAAATAGAATCCAGATTGGAGTTGTGTAGAGAATACAAAATTTATTCCCAGTGACTGTAATCCCTGTAGGCCAGGGGTGTCAAACTGCCAGCCCACGGGCCGGACGCATCATCCGGAAGCTGCGCTCATCCCATTGCCGGCAATGGCAAAACTGTCCCGGCATGTCTCGCGACGTCACGTGACATCACAAGTTTGACAGATCTAGCTTCCCCAACATACATTTTGTGAAATACATTCTCCCATAATTGAGAATGATTTTCATCTTTGACGAGGGGGAGGAATTAATGTGCTGCATTTGGAGGCCACTGATGAGGAGAAAACCTTCTTCCATTCAAGGCATAGTTGTTCCTGGCAAACCTCCAGGAGGGAGAGAAACTGTGTATCCTGTGACTCATCATAACATTATGTAGAAACAACAAAAGCATTTAAATACATGTTTATTTTTCACACTGTTTCATTTAGAGCAGACATCCAGATTAATCATAAAAGAGTAAGCTCATTCCGAAATGTCTGTAATGTATGCAGATAAAATTAATCTGCCTGCTTCCTGGAAAAGTAGCCTTCCTGTGAAGAATCATTAATAACAAGATGTTATTGATAGCTATCCCTTCTTTTGCAAATACCACGCAGCAGGTACATTTAATTTGAATCCTTGTTTAACATCACTTTTTTATATAATATTTTATTAATTTTCCAATTTTACATTTGAATATTTAAAAAGCAATGTGGTGACTGGGTTAATCAATAGTTTAATAACAAAATCTTAGTGCAAATCTCAGGTTAAAACATCAAATATTTCTCTTTTTCCATTAACATTTACTGTCTCATATTCAGGTTAGTACATTTCTAATTATATCAACTCAATAAGAACATCATTATTACATTTATCAATAAATGTTTAGGTTATATATATCTTAATTACATTCAATCTTCATAAACAATCCATATCCTGTTATTTTTAATTTCAATCCATATCCTGAAATTTTTAATGTCTTATCAATATTCCAATTTAACCTTTGATATTTATAATTTTCAGACTTTGGATAACCAAAATTTTCCTTATCTCACTTCATAACAAACTATAATATCCAAAATACACATTTTATCTATTTGAATATAATCTTGTTCTATTTCCTAAGAGTTATCTATTTCCCACCATATTAAATCATCTACTTAATAACACAATATCCCCCTTTAAGTCTAATTTTTAAATATTAAACCGATGAAATCCTTATTTTCAACTGGTTTCCAAATATTTTAAATCTAATACCAAAATTCCTCTTATCTCAACATCTTCCTTTAACCCTCTAATTGGCAATATAAAATCCCCTCTAATGAGTCAAAATCCCAGTTTTTTCAACCTTATTCTAGCTTTCTTCCTTTGCCAACTAGGCTTCCATATCAGCGCCTTTAAATCATCAAATAGATCTCCCTCCATTCTTACATATGTTATTTGAATTAAAGGAGACCATTTGATTGCCAGTTTTCTGGAAGGACTAGCCCATTTGTATTCGTTAAATTGTCTCCCTATTATTCCAGTTCCCCATGTTTGCTCTAATATGTTTGTCTTCAATTCAATCTGTTCTACTTCTTTCTCAAATTTCTTCTGATTTATATAGAAAGTCATTTCCATTTTCAATGTTTTTCACTCCCTTTTCTGGATTTGTTGGTCTGTCTTAATATTTGGTTGTCCTGCTTCTTCTGTTATCTTCTGCATTGTTGGTTCTTTGGTTGTAGTCAAAATTTGGCTTTGTGCATCTAAGCTGGCATCTTGATCTTTTATTTTAGGTCTTATTTTATCACAAGCTAAAAGAATGGTTTCATATATCGCTTTCAACATAGAAAGAATCTTTTCCTGATCTTCATCCATCTCTTTCACTTAAATAGTCTTTCTAGTAAAAGTTATTTGTTAAGCAAAAGTCAGTAAAGGTTTACATTCACAGTTTAAGTAGGCCAATTTTGCTGCCCAGCTGTTTTCTTACAGCTAAATCTCTCATAGATGGTACCAAAGTCAGGAAGGTCTTATCTAAGGTCTGGGCTTTGAGCCAAGTCTCTTTTTAGGAAATAACAACCTGCAATACCAAGCTTCACCACAAGATGTCACCGATGACATTTAGAGTTTTTAAAGTCCCGAATTTTTCTAATTCTTTTTCCAATTTTATTTCTTTTTTGTAGATAAAAACAAAAGTCTCCAATAGAAATAGGAAAATTTTTGGTCCCCAAGTTTCAGGAACATATAAATCAAATTAGATTAAAGTTGTTCTTTTTAATGCTTTGATTCCCCTGGGTAGTCAGACGCCGCTATTCTTAGAGGGTGGGATAGAAATTCCCTTCCCTCTCTCCTCACAGGGGGAAGATACTTCAAACAGTCTTTACAGGAAAATAAGGTACTTAGGGTAAAGAGAAGATCAGATCTCACCCAGTTTCATCCGCATTGCTTTCAAAGTGCTCGATAGCAGCCTAATGACGAGCCATATTGATATGGCCAGTCTTTTATCTGCCAGTTTGGAGGGCTGCCCCAGATCACCCTCCCACAATCAAGTGGGGGTCCCCTCCTTGCTCGTCGCCCCTACAGGGTGACTTTTGACCCTTTCCAGAGTCCCCCAGCGAAGAAAAATCAGACGTGGAAGACGGAGTCGCCTTCCAAGCATCTGCAGCAGCCACATCGGCAAACCGGAAGTCATGTTTAACATCAATTTTATGGACTAAATATCACAGACTTTGTTAGCTTTTAAAATAGGCCAGTGATAACATGTTCTTCCTGAAACTAGGGATCAGCTAAGGAATGGGATTTTCCAGTGAATTCAATGAATAAGAAACCAAAAAGTAGGATTTCAGAATGGTCTTTTTCTTCAACAGGACATTGAATATGTCTCATGAAGTAACACAAACCACTTCTTAAGATTGAAATGATACAACTCCATTATTTTCCTTCACGTCACTTCAACAGCTTCATCCAACATTTTCAACAATGAAAAGAGATTCCATCATGACCTCAGGCCCTGTAAGTTTTAGAGGTGATCATCACAGCAGTATCAAATGCCTCAAGAATAGTGTCATTTCTATGATGTAAAAGTGCCTGACTGAGGTGTATTGCAGCTGCAAGTAAAAAGGATAATCTTATCCTAAACTGTAATGGAGAATCAACCATGGTCAGCCCCAGAATAGTTATGAATCCTAGTTGCCACAAAACAAAAATGGAAGCAGAAGGAAGAGGCAGAACTGGTCACTGGCCTAGTATTACACTTTGATTTGTTCGTCTCATGTATCAATATTAGAGCAAGTAGACAATGACAGCCCTATGAAACAATCAACCTCTTTTCTTTCTTCCATCAAAACACAAAATGGTAACTATCAACATCAAATATTAAGTATTATTTTAGTAAATGACGAACAAGAGTTGTAATCAATGTATTTTATCTTATTATAAAAAGTACCATAACTCCCTATTTTACAATCCTGTAGTCCATGATGACATTTAATATACAGCATAGTTGTATTGTATTGCTCTACTCAGCAACTACTTGGAAAAACAAGAAGTTTGATTACAATTTAGTTTCATTTAGAGTACACCTATTGAAATCATTGGGAATTACATGAAAATAATGTGACTATATTTGGTCCATTCAAGGTTTGGGTTGTTAGTGCTTATGCACCTATTCACTTTTGTTAGAAAGCACTAAAATTTTGTATGTCGTTGTTTTTCTGTTGCTTTCATACAGTTTGTATCAACCACAAACTGCATCCCAAGAGCCCAAAGCAAAATCAGGATCTTTGAATGATACCATTACCTGGTTTCTGAACATTTGGAAATGAGTTTGTATTAATTGATATTGATTCTAAAATTTATAAGATTCTAAAAGAGTGTAAAGAGCTATATAGCACACAGAGTATAATGGAATTTGATATGGGAGAAATGGAGTGCCCTATAGTTATATGGTGAACTGAATGGCTTTTAAACACTTAAAATAAATTATGAGCTAGTTCATTTTCAGGAAGAAAGTCCAGCCAGTTCACTGTACATTTCTCCTCCTGAAATGGAACTAGTATGATAAACTTGTCCAGGATTCTTCCCATTTCTCTAATATCTTAGGGCTCCTTAACTTCTTATCTATTATCTATTGAAAATATGTTTATTGTACAATGTATTTCATTTTTTGTTGTCTTAAAATGTGTGAATTTTGGACATATTCACCCTGAGTACAGAATTGCAATAATAATAATAATCCTAGCCTACACATAAAAGTATCATAGCACAGAATGGATAAAAGGGGAAAAAATCAATATTCATGTAGCGGAGTGTTTGGTTATATAAACACTACACTGATCAAACACTATAGGGCAAAACAGTATTCCCTAATAAGCCTCCACAAATTGTGCTTTTGTGCAATCCCACAATCCTCAGTTTAGCCTATCCATTTTTTGACAAAATTAAACTGAAGATTATGCTCCATAGGTTGTGAGAAAAACAGCTTTCTATGATATATACACATATAAGTTACTGATATTCTGTATATGCCAACTCAAAAGTAAGCCCCACTGAGTTCAATAGATCATAATCCCATGGATTTGGGCATTAGATCATTATAGGCCTTGCATCTCCTCCTGGGGTGATTGTCTCACTCTGACTAAGGGAATAACACTGATTTTACTCTAGCAAATTTGCAAGAACAGGAAGCTGAAAACAGGGGCCAAAAGTGCCTCTGTTAGCCATTAAACTACCTCTCTCATTCTTAGTACACAAAAGGAAAAGGAAACAGTGGCCTCTGTCTTCAGTGATCCATCCAAAAAATTAAGAAGAAATTAGATGTTATGATGATGATTAATCCGCTGCAGCTAAAGCTGCATTTTTGAGGCTGGATACCATGATTGCACTTGAAAAATGAACATATACATAGTGTTTCCCTGATCTTCACTGCAAGCTTAAAGGAACCATGGCAATCTTTCTGTTCACAGAAGAAAAGTAATTTACTCTCTCCCTTTGTTACATATAATATCTGCAATAATTTATCAACAATAACATTTTTCTTGATCAACATCAATGCTTCCACAATTACATTATAACGCTTTCTCAATCAGTAAAGGAGACACGGAATACAGTTCTGATTTCAGCTTAGAGGTACTGCTTTGTTGGTCCCTGGAGCTAATTTCTAGAGATGTCTTCATTCACACACTCACAGACCATGGTTTGAGAGTTTCTGGTTCAGCAGGTAGACACTAAAAAGAAAAAAAAAGGGGTGAGAACAAATTATAAATGCTTCAATTTTTTTGCATTTCCAGGTAGGGCTGAAAATAGCTTCTACTTGAAGTCCTGAAGTCCTGAATCAATAACACTGGACTTCATGGGTCAAGAGTCATTTTTAAGGATGAGGAAAGATATTAATTTTGTTTTATCTTAATAGTTTCTGCAGCTATGTTGAATTCAATTCGTCAATCGTGAAACAATTTTTTAAAAAAAGTTGTACTAACAATTGCATGAATTTAGGAATACACTTCTCCAAACATGTGTAGTTTTGTTTGCAATTGTACCCAATGTTTAAAGTTTTGCAAATCATTTTTGTAATAAAATATGGTGCATTATTTCCATTAATATCTGCATTTTGATGGATTTTTCCTTAATATACTTGACTGCATGGGCAACTTCTAAAAGACTCTTATTTTAGAAAAAGTGTTCTTTAGTGTACCAGTTAAAAGACTAAAGTTCAAGTCAGAAATCTTTGTTCAAATCTTGCTTCTCCCATGGACTCGCAAGGAGATCTAGTTTGCCACGAAGATTTCAAGATCATAAATTTTGAATCCTTGAAAAGCACCATAAAATTGTTGAATGTTGTGATTACCAAGTGTTTGGGAAAGCCTTTACCAATTCAAAGCTGGGTCCTTGTTCCTGTTGATCTAATGCTTAACTAATTATATTTGAAGAGGAGAATAGGAGATAAATTAACTTACCAGTTTGGTGAAGGAATCAACACAAGCATTGCGTATTCTTTCTGGAGTAGCTGGACTATATAATCTGAATATTCCTTTTAATCCAGATTCTTCTCTTGCAGAGACAATTGCATCTTTGATAGCATAAAATACGGAGGCTGCTAAGAACAATGGAGGCTCACCCACAGCCTGTGGAGATGAAAGGGCAAAAGGCCATGCAATCCTCCATCAAAAACGTATTTTCAGCATGTAACAAGATATACATATATAATGTACCAATTCACAATTTCACTGGACCACATACAGTGGTGGAAAAATGTATCTTTTGTGCATAATTTGTATGTTGTATTTCATGTTATGCTCTCTTATTTGACATCATCAGCTAACTTGTGAACCATCACAATTGAATAACCCCAATATGATGGAGGCAACAATGTATCCACTTTCACTTTTACAGTTAATTGTATCCACTTTCACTACAGTTAATTGTATCCACTTTCACTTTTTGATGGAGGCAACAATGTATCCACTTTCACTATACAGTTAATTGTATAGGCAGGAGTGCCTGGAGAAGACAGATATATCTGTCTATTAGGGAATAACTCCAGGACCAATAAGCAGTGATATTATTGATCTTGTATAATGTTTAATTAGAGAAATTAGGTAAGTAAAATGCATTAGCTCAAATGGAATTGTATGTGATTCAGCATGTTGTGTGAACCTGCTCATCATATTTAGCCATAGTATTGTTTAGCTGCTATTTACAGTATTTTGTTAAGCTGCATTTAGGATTTAAAGTGGTCTGTGCATTCAGCCAAAGAGTACTTAATTAGTGGAGAAACATTTACAATATAATAAATTTTCTATAGCCAGTAAACAAAATGAGCAATTTCAGTTCATCCTGCAGTAAGGTCATTAAAATGTTTTAAGGTAAGGCAGGATAATATGGAAGAGATAAATAGAGTTGTTAACACATAATATTTACATTCCTCAGTGTAATAGTATGAAAATCATTATGCTCTGGTGCTCCAGCTAATAAGTTCTGACCCAGCATTGGCCTATCCTATAAATACTACACTGTTTTAGAATGGTGGGTGGAAAGAAAGAATAAAAGAATAAAGAGAATCATAAACGGAAAGGGAGAAAGATATTCTTCAATGCAGCATAGAATTAATCCAGTGATATTCATCACCTAAAGTATACTTGATTGTATTTTGGTTACTGACTGAAGCAAGCAAAGCAAGGTCCCATGTTGCCAATTGTTATGAAATATCTGGAATACAGAAGACATGAGAAGAGTGCTCTGCGTTGCATATATGTTAATTGACAAATGGAGAAATTTATTTCCCAGTGAGATATTTACCTTAGATGAATAAATGGCTTTGCTATTTGGACAATCCCGGAGAAGAGAAACATGGAACTCTGATGGAATGTCACCGAATGCAGGGATCTTGTACATTCCAGGCCCCCGTGTATACAAGTTGCCTTCTGGAGAATAGCGTAGCTCCTCCAGGGTAAACAGCCCAATTCCTTGGACAAATGCTCCCTCAATCTGAAAAAAATAAATCAAGTCCAAATTTGTTCTTTTCTTTTCTCTTCCCCATCCCTTTGAAAGATTTAAAAACCAAATATTGTACAGGTTTCTGCAGACACACTTAGGCCAGCTTCCTAAATGCTTAATTATGACTGCAATCCTATTCCCATGTTCTTGGGAATAGGCCCACTGGGTTCATTAAGACTGTTTGTAAACTTCATCATCAAACTAAGAAAACTGCTCAGTCCAAAGACTTCAGAGCCAGATTGCAATTATTTAGTGATTAAGAAAAACAGTGTTTGCAGACATTTATATAAATTGCATTACATGATTATTGCTTAAATGAGTGGCAAAGTAACTAATAAAATTATAACAAATGTATTGCTTTACCATCTGTTTGTAAGCAATGATTTAAAGTGTATGATTGCTAATGCATTGGGACAGTATACTGAACTGCATTAGCAATAAATGCCAAACTTCATTGGTCCTCCTCTCAGGTATGGCCACGAAAGGCAGATCCAATTGGTCTGTTCGGATGCTGCCTCTGAACTGCTTTTTCAGTAAGCTATTCAGATAATCCCCCTCCCCTCCTCTCTCTGCCCTTTATTATGATAAGGTTGGCCTCTGTCCTGGTATCTACATGTTCCAAGGAAGTTTGTTTTGCACTTTTGCACATGCAGAGTAAATGTTTGCATGATCCTGACTCAAACATATTTTGTCTTTCATGCATATACATTCCTCCTGCAGACATTAACACCAAACCTGCAAGTATTAAAAGGAAATGTGTTATTTGAGTAATGTTAGTAGAAAACATGAAATACATAGTGAATGCTCCAGTTCAAGTGGCATCTGAATGGGGCTTGTTTCCAAACTTTCCAAAATGTATCTATTCTAAATAATTGTAGTTATTTAGAAAACTAAGTCACGTTTGTAAATTTTGAAAGTGGCTTGTTTCCCAAAATTATAGATAATATGCATTAAAAACTGTGATCTCTTGTAGAGACAGGTGAAGTTGATGAGCAGCCAGAGACTCATGCTAAGACATTGCTATTAGACCCAAAAATGGTTAATGTCGTATTGTAGATGAAAAAAGCGATGTTAATGTGTTGTTAAGAACATGAAACATAAATGTAAAAGTCCTTGTGAACAGTTCTTATCTACAAGAAAAACATCTGCAAATGAGATTTGGCGTGTACCTAATATTATAAATTTAACAAAGTTAAATGTTAACCAATACCAGTTTTAATATTACCACATATTGAAGATTTGGCAGCTCAAGTAGGTATATATTCAACTGTACTATATGTGTAAATATGTGGTCCTCAGCCTTTCTGGCTTGGGGGACCGGTGAGGGGAGGGAGAGGGGATGGTTCCCTGTAAGTGGTTGGAGCGTGCACCTGCCACTCTTGAGCAAATGGAGCTTCACGCGTGAGCACAAGCACCCACTGCTCATGCAAGTGGAGATGTGTGCATGTGCACGCTGCCCCCCCCCACTTGCATGGTCCTGATTTGAATGGGTCCTAGTCCAGTAGTGGCCTGCGGGTTGGGGACCCCTGTTCTAAATAATGGGTTTGTGGCATGATATTTTGTTGATAGTACTCATAGTTGGTTACATATCTGAATTTAGTAATTTAGGTGAATTGCAACACAGGTTAAAATAGAAAGCTCAATTTCTCCAAAACATGTGAGCATTGTCTGAAATGAATCTACACTGTAATGAACAAACCATTTCCCATTTTCCAGCTGGCATAAAGATATATGTCATGTGCAAAACACTTGAAGGCTAACACAAACTGAAAATAAATTAGCAATTAACAGTTCCCTGTGTTAAAAGAGTTCACAGTACTGCTGCTGTTTATCAAGCCTTTTGCTGATTATTAACCATTTTAATCTGTCTGTTTGTATACACATCTATTTTAGCTTCACAGAGTACAGACAACTTGCACTGCTTACCTGCCCTATATCTATAGCTGGATTCAGGCTGGTGCCAACATCCATCACAACATCAGTGTAAAGATTCTAAACATCGAAACAAGTAAAAGCTCAGTAAACACAAGGCTAACCACATATTATTAGCTAAATATGAATCGCATTTGACTTGATGTTTTTATTCATATGTTTCATGGAAGAGCAAAGTTTTCATCTGAGCTGGAACTATCCAGGTCAAAACTCCTAGATATTGATGTTGACAAGACAACTCTCAGTGTGCCTTAAAGATCTCAATGCAATGCAATGCACAACGCAATGCAATGCAACACAATACAGTACAACACAACACAGTACTTGGTGATTTAAAAAGTTATCCTGATTATAAAATTCATTGCTTAAAGCTGCAGCCCTTTGGAGTTGTCATGATGGCCTTCACAGTTATGAAATTAATGATTAAAACAAAATATAGATATAAAAGTTTATAAAAATTATTTAAAAGATTATAAAAATTCCACCACAAATTTGGAAGTGATTATACCAATTTCCTACCCAGATGAATCCACCAAATGATTTTTTTTTTAAAAAACCAACTATGTAAACCTAGTAAAAAAAAAAATAAGCACAGAGCAAAAGATTTACTGAAGTCCACATAATGAATCTAAAGCCAAGAGTATCTTATCCATTAAATACACTCTTAATTATTATAGAATGTCCCTCCTTACATGAAAATGAAGAAGTGCTTTTAACTATTTAGTAACTCTGCTTACCTTATGGTCACCGGTCAGACAATCTATCTCAACCTCAGAACAAGCAACACCATAGGAGAAGTAATTGAAAGGCTTTCCTGCATTCTTTGAGAAGTCATAGCCAACATTAGGAATGCTTAACAGAGAGGGAACAAAAGGAGGAAAATATAAAATCATCAGAGAGATTGTAAGGTATAAAAGGCAATGCATAAACTAATGTATGGACATGGTCAAGGCAAGGTTGGTTTGCAAGAATAAAAAGAGATGGAGAAATATAGCATATAGTAGGGGTAGTCAACCTTGGTTCTTTTATGACTCGTGGACTTCAACTCCCAGAATTCCTGAGCCACCTGGCTCAGGAATTCTGGGAATTGAAATCCACGAGTCATAAAAGAGCCAAGGTTGACTACCCCTGGCATATAGTGTGGGGGGAAAACTAGATTACCTACATTTCATTTTCTTTTGTTTACGGTAGCTTTGATCTCTCTGAGCTACTATTTCACATTTTTCTGCACATTGTTGCTGACCCCAGAAGGAGATGGCACGAAGGATGTATTAATATGCATGTACAGATTTTATTATCATTGCAGTAAAATCATTGATTGTGATTTAGTCTAATGTTGTTAGGTCAGAATATCTGAAAATTAATAAAGTGAAGCAATATAGGGGATCCTGAAGATCCAACCATAATTCTTATTAATCAAGGGGACTGAAATCAAGACAGTTGCAGTTCCAACCTGGTCCCCAAAATCTGGAGGTAACATTCTGAGAGGGCCAGAGCAGAAGAATTGCTTCAGTTATTCCATGAAATAAGCTGCACTTATTCCATTTCTTTGTTACAGCATTCTTCCTCCTTGTCCTCTGGCCCTCAGCCACAAGAACATTTAGCTGTTCTCTCTAATTCTTATGTATTATTAGAGCATGCAAATATTGTGACTCAAGACAAGACTGCAGTCTGAGATTTAAAAAAAAAAAGTGGAGCTAACAAGCCTGTTAGTAGAATGCTGATAAGAGACAACTCATAGTAATAATAATAATAATAATAATAATAATAATAATAATGATGATGATGATGATGATGATGATGATGATGATGATGATGATAAAGTTGGAAGGGACCTCGGAGGTCATCTAGTCCAACCTCCTGCTCAGGCAGGAAACCCTATACCATTTCGGACAAATGGCTGTCCAGTTTCTTCTTAAAAACTTCCAGTGTTGGCACATTCACCGCTTCTGGAGGCAAGTTGTTCCACTGCTTAATTGTTCTAACTGTCAGGAAGTTTCTCCTTAGTTCTAGGTTGCTTCTCTCTTTAGTTAGTTTCCACCCATTGCTTCTTGTCCTGCCTTTAGGCGCTTTGGAAAATAGCCTGACTCCCTCTTCTTTGTGGCAGCCCCTAAGATATTGGAACACTGCTATCATGTCCCCCCTCGTCCTTCTCTTCGTTAAACTAGACATACCCAATTCCAGCAACCGTTCCTTATATGTTTTAGCCTCCAGTCCCCTAATCATATTTGTTGCTCTTCTCTGTACTCTTTCTAGAGTCTCAACATCTTTTTTACATCATGGTGACCAAAATTGGATGCAGTATTCCAAGTGTGGCCTTACCAAGGCATTGTAAAGTGGTATTAATACTTCACGTGATCTTGATTCTATCCCTCTGTTAATGCAGCCTAGCACTGTGTTGGCTTTTTTGGCAGCTGCAGCACACTGCTGGCTCATATTTAAATGATTGTCCACTAGGACTCCGAGGTCCCTCTCGCAGTTACTACTATTGAGCAAGGTACCCCCTATACTATACCTGTACATTTGGTTTTTCTTGCCTAAATGTAGAACCTTACTTTTTTCACCATTGAATTTCATTTTGTTAGATAGCGCCCAGTGTTCAAGTCTGTCCAGATCCTCCTGTATCCTAAGCCTGTCTATCGCATCTTCTTTATTGTAAACCCATTTTATGAAATTAGCTTATATCTAAATCCCCAACAGCAGAAATAATACCCAAATTCCAAACCTGATGACGTTTTGCAGATCTTCTCTCTGATAGTTTCACTCACCTATAAAATCCTGTAGCTGATAAACTCACACAGTCATGATAAGCTGCCAACACCTATTGAAAACAAGCATATAAAATGTTGTTGGGCTTTTCTCAAACTGGAATAATTGTAATTTCCTGAGTGGAATGGAAATGTTTCATTGAGTAGCACAATTATTCATAAGGAAAACATTATCAACAAAACATTAAAAAAAAAAACTTCCTCTCAACTCGTAATGTTCAACTTTAAAAACACAATAGACCTTTGCCCCAAATCAGCATTGAGCAAAAACTATATGAGACTGCAATCTGATATTTTGATTATTGCTCATCTCCAATTCCAGATACATGCAGTGAATGTGGAAAAATGCTGGGAACAGCATCTGAAAGACTACAAGTCTATATTGCCAACATTTTTCTTTATCTAGAAGGGTATCCCACAGAACTAAATGGAATTTCCTTCTGAATTGAAATGTACAGGAATGCATTGCTAAATATTAAAAGGGCTTGTAATTGTGCTTTTATATTTGCCAACTCAAAACTATGGGCAGCCTTATTCTGCATTGATATTTTTACATGCTTTAGAGTAGACCAACTAGATCAAACCAAACATGGCTGATACAGCAATCTACACTGAAATAGCTTTTATAAGTACATGGGTGGGGGACCATTTGGAAAGTCCAGAGCTATAGGCTAGACTCGGGGATTTATTTATTTATTTGTTAAATTTGTTTGCCACTCATCTCACTACAATTGAAAGGCAGGAACACCCAGGAATCTGCATGGATATATCATCAGGAATCAAGCTTGATTACCATCCTGTATCAGATAAAAATACAGGACACTTTTATCACCACGACTCCTTGAACAGGGCATATCCTGTACAGACCACAATGACATGATCTGTCAGCATTAGAGCTAGGAAATGGTAGTAGTTGTCTCCCACAAAGCTCCACTTATTCTGGAAGATGCCTCAGTTTGAGTAAAGTTGCAATACAACATTAATACATAATCAAAATGAGATATGGCAACAATATAATGAAATATGAAGCAGTTAAGAAAAATAGCATGGGAAAAAGCTAATTAGAATTTGCAAAAAAAAAAAAAAAGGAATAGTATAGGCAGCACATTTATGCTATACTTCCAAAACTTTAACTTGCATCAAATGAAAACATACCCAATCTTGCCATGATCCTTTTGGGTTAGCACATCTGAATGGCTCCAATTGTTTTAAGATGGTCTGGCAAGCGTTCTAAAAAATAATCCAAAACAAAAAACATTTTGTTACAAAGATGATCTCTACTGTGCCTGCAGATTGCAGTTAAGTCTATATCATTTTACTTGTCTGAAACTGACCTCAAATGAATAAAAATATAACGATATGCTTTAGACCTAAAATTGCCATGTCGGGCACTTTTGAAGCAGCAACTCTCATATACTGTGGTCCTAAAACTAAATATGCTAAGAGATTCTCAGAATGCCCATTTTTATAGTGCAAATTAAACAAACTGTTTCTTGAACTCCCAAGCCAGACAGATTTGTGCTAACAGCAATGATTGTATAAGTCAAACTTTTCTAATGTGGAATTTTGGCCATGGTAGCTAAAAATTAGAATCTGATACAACACATCTGGCAGATAACAGGTTATGGAAATGTATCACAGAGATAGTTTAGAGTCTATTATTATATCATTGTTCATCTCAAATTAAGCATCACTGAAACTTAATGACCAGTTATTATCATTTCTAATGCTGCTATTTTGATCAGCAATAGAATTCCAGGGTCTAAGATAAAGGATTTCCCCACCAACATGTAGATAATGGTACTCCGTCACTTATTTAACCATTTCCTTTTACATAAAACATTGTATTGATAACAGCTTTTGGGGATTGCTGGGGAGGCGTACAGACAAGTGAATTGGAGGGGTTCCCTGCTACAAACTGATAGCTACAAAATTGTGTATAAGTAATATTCCTTACAAAAACAGCCATCCCATTGATATCAGCACTGACAGAAGCAGCTGTTGGTGATGTATTTGGCACCGTGTTGGTGCTTGTCTCACTTATATGGATCTTAGAGGTAGGGATTCCCAGAGTCTTGCTGGCAACCTACAAAGAGAACATTGGATTCATTGTTAAATGTTAGACTGGCCACAACCCAAAGAAACATAACTTTATGGATAGCTGTTTCCTTTTTTTCTAAGTGAAAAAAGAAAAAAGAAAAAAGCAAGCCATCCTGGCTTCTATCAAATAAAAGTTATAATACAGCAAGAGAAATAAGGGGGAGGTACAGATTTTAATGGGGTATCTACATGTCAAGAGGCTTGCAGGATTTCAGAAGCTGTTATTATAAATAGATGTAGCTGAACAAATGAGGTATATATTAAAACAGCACAGGGCTTTTATATACATATTCCTAATTTACCTGAATCATCTTGGTGTGCAGACCTTGACCCATCTCAGTCCCACCATGTGTGAGCAACACCGAACCATCAGTGTAAACATGTAACAATGCACCACCCTATCACCAAAATTAGAGAAATAAACTGTTAAGATCTGTTTGAAATATTCGTGTCTCTAGGGCACATTTTTAACTGTAGTCTTCCGTCTTTCATATGCTTTCATTAGGAATCAATCGAACTGATGCCAAATTACTAATATTAGTAGCTCCATGGAATTTAATCATATGTAGCACATCCAATCTCCTTCATGGATTACTGCCTTGTCGTGGCGAAGGGGCTTGCATAACTCAATGAAGCTATGCCGTACAGGGCCACCCAAGACGGACAGGTCATAGCAGAGAGTTCTGACAAAATGTGATCCACTGGAGAAGGAAATGGCAAACCACTCCAGTATCTTTGCCATGAAAACCCCATGGACAGTACCAAAAGGCAAAAAGATATGACGCTGGAAGATGAGCCCCTCAGGTCAGAAGGTGTCCAATATGCTACTGGGGAAGAGCAGAGGGCTAGTACTAGTAGCGCCAGAAAGAATGAAGTGACTGGGCCAAAGCCAAAAGGACGCTCAGCTGTGGATGCATCTGGTGGTGAAAGGAAAGTCCGATGCTGTAAAGATCTTTTCTCCATAGGAACCTAGAATGTAAGATCCATGAATCAAGGCAAGCTAGATGTGGTCAAACAAGAGATGACAAGACTGAACATCGACATCTTAGGAATCAGCGAACTAAAATGGACAGGAATGGGTGAATTTAACTCAGATGACCATCAGGTATACTACTGTGGGCAAGAATCCCTCAGAAGAAATGGAGTAGCCTTCATAGTCAATAAAAGAATAGGAAAAGCAATACTGGGATACAATCCCCAAAATGACAGAATGATCTCAGTTCGAATCCAAGGCAAACCATTCAATATCACAGTAGTCCAAATCTATGCCCCAACCACTGGTGCTGAAGAGGATGAAATTGACTAGTTCTATGAAGCCCTA